CTTTGTAATCTACACACATTCTTAGTTTATTTCCTTTTTAGGGACTACCACTACGTTTGCTAACCAATCCGGGGTATTTAACCTCCTGAATGGACCCTATTTTAAGGAGTTTAGATACCTCGTCCTTGATGAAAGCATGTTTGACCTCGGACCGAGGCCTCCTCTTCTGCTTGACCGGATTGATTTTCGGGTCTAGGCTTAGTTTGTGAGTGGTTATCTCCGGTGGGATCCCTGTCATATCAAGATGGGACCAAGTGAAACAATCTATATTAGTTAAAAGGAATTGAATAAGTTTTTTCCTGAGCTCGGGAGTTAACCCCATGCCCAGGTATACCTTCCGATCGGGCAGATGCTCGATCAATATAACCTGTTCCAGCTCTTCGACCGTTGATTTGGTTGCATCGGAGTCATCGGGGATTATAAAAGATCGGGGGACCCCATAATCATCATCTTCATAAGTCCCCTGCTTATCTGATTGGGTTGTTTGGCCTTTTGGTTCACGCCTGAATTTGGTTCCTTCGATGTTGTGAGTACTGATATTGAAATCACTTCTTCGACTGCAAACATCTCGTTTGCGGCCGGTTGTTCCCCATAGACTATCTTAATCCCTTCCGGAGTTGAGAATTTTAACACTTGGTGAAGAGTTGAGGGCACTGCCATCATGTTGTGGATCCACGGCCTTCCGAGAAGGGCGTTGTACCTCATGTCTCCTTCAATCACATAAAACTTGGCCTCTCGTATGGTTCCGGTGATATTGACCGGTAACGTTATCTCCCCCTTAGTGGTTTCACATGCCATGTTGAACCCGTTTAGAATTCGGACTGCAGGCATGACTTTGTCTCATAGACCGAGTTGTTCCACGACCCTCGACCAAATGATATTGGCTGAGCTACCTGTATCAATCAACACACATTTAATTCGAGTTTTATTTACGAGTACAGATATTACCAATGCATCATTGTGAGGTTGTACGATCCCTTCCTCATCCTCGTCGCTGAAAGATAAAATTCCTTCCGGTACGTAGTCTCGAGTTCGTTTCTCCCTAATGATGGATACTTTGGTGAGTTTCAACATCGGCCCTTGTGGGATATCGACTCCACCGATGATTATAGTTATGATGTGTTGAGGTTCTGTATCTTCTTATCTTGTATGTTTGTCCCTATTTCTAAAGTGGTTCTTGGCTCGGTCGCTCAAGAATTCTCGAAGGTGCCCATTGTTGAATAAACGATCCACTTCTTCTCTCAATTGTCGATAATCTTTCGTTCTATGACCGTGAGGGCCATGATATTTGCACATCTGGTTAGGGTCCCTTTGAGCTGGATCGGATTGCAGAGGTTGAGGCCATTTGGTATAACTGATGTGCCCGATAGTAGATACAAGGGCGGCAACATCGACATTAAAGTTGTATTCCGATAACCTCAATACTTCTTTAGGCCCGATGGACCTGTCGAAGCTGTTTTTGGTCATGAGCCCCCGGTTGCTTCGGCCTTGATCATTTCTCCTGTCGTTTCATACGGGGTTCCGCCCTGACCCACTGCTCTTTCTATCTCCATGATATGGTAGATATTGATCCCTGTTTGATTTTGGCTCACGATCGATATCTCTCTTGACTATGTCGAGGGTTCTGACGGGATAAATAGACTCCGAGGGGGGCCCGAGTTGGTCAGCTTCGACTCTGATTTTTGATTGATACCGGTTATGTACATCTTCCCAGGTAATGGCAGGGTATTCTATCAGATTCTGCTTTAATTGGTATGAAGCCACCGAGCTCCGAATATTGAGTCCCTGAGTGAAAGCTTGAATAGCCCAATCATCAGCGACTGGAGGCAGATCCATTCGTTCCATTTGGAAACGGGACACGAATTCTCTGAGCATCTCGTTGTCCTTCTGTTTAACTTTGTAAAGGTCTGATTTCCTGGTCTCGACCTTGATGGTACCAGCATGTGCTTTCACGAAGGAGTCTGCAAGCATAACAAATGAATCAATAGAATTAGGAGGTAAGTTGTGATACCATGTCATAGCTCCTTTTGACAGGGTCTCCCCGAATTGTTTTAGCAGAACAGACTCGATCTCGTCGTCTTCCAAGCCGTTCCCTTTGATGGCGCACGTGTAAGAAGTTACATGCTCATTTGGATCAGTCGTTCTGTTATACTTAGGTATTTCAGGCATACAAAATATTGTGGGGATTGGCTTTGGAGCCGCGCTCGGAGGAAAAGGTTTTTGCACGAACTTTCTGGAATCCAATCCTTTCAATATCGGAGGTGTTCCTAGATTTTGATCCACCCTGGAATTGTAGGTTTCCACCTTTTTATTATTCGCCTCGATTTTCTTTTCCCCTGATTCTGCCCACTTTGTCAGCTCCCCGAGCATCTTTATAATCTCGGGATTAGTACCTGATTCTTGTTCATTTGACCTTATTATGACCGGTTCATTTTTGAGGGTGACTTCACGGGGCAGATCAGGTTCAACCCTGCTCGGCGTCTCGCTTTGGCTCTGCAACTGAGCCATTGCAACTTGTTGAGCTTGCAGCATTTCGAAGATCATCTGTGGGCTGATCCCGTCTTTTTCATTATTTTGTGTGTTTTGAGTCGCCGATCGGGTCCCATCACGGATGCTATTTTCGGGGTCGGTAGGCAAGTTGGCTTCGATCGCCACATGTGAATTAACATCAATCGCATCTGCGATCAAAATTCTAACGGGACCAGCAGGTGGCCCTACTGTTGTTATTCTCACCCTTGTGACCGAACTCGTTGTCGATATGTAAGGGTGCTAATTGAGAGTTTGACATTTTTTGCCTGAAATCAAAGATACTTCAAAGAGCAAGTGTAAAGTAGTGTGTGTTATGAAGATTTGTATCCAATAACTTTACCCTCAAAATCGGATAACAATTGAATTTGTAAGTGGTTATAAAGATATGTGAATTAACTTGATACAAAGCAATAAGTTAGATTGTAATTAAAATAAAAAGCGATAAATTAGATTGTAATTAAAATAAATAGCGATAAAATAAACTGCAAACCACAGGAGTTGGGCGATTTCAATTTTAAGAATGCCAGCCACCCTTGAGGTGAATACACTTTTATTGACAGAAAAAATATCAAAGAGTAGGAGCTTGGAAAATGTATTGCTTATGAGCGTATGCTACAATGTGTTTAATGGATTGTCAAGTCCCCTTTATATATTGAGGGAGACCTACCCTTTAGGGTATTATTTAATTGTACTATAAAAATATAAGTGCTTGATTTTGGACGACCGTTGGTTCCCTTTTCCGTGATTTCTGCCATAATGACTGGTTAATGGCGAGAATTACGGACCCCTGTCGGATGAGTTGGCAAAGCTTTCTTCGAGACCGTTAGAAACATGACCAGTTACGCTTTCGGCAAACTCGAAGGTAAACCTGATGGTTTCGATGGCTAATTTTGATAGTGCTTTAGGTTCGATCATAATCATCATGTGCCGATCTCGGTTAGTGGTATTAGTCGTCAGATCGATCTTTGAGCTCGACTTTACCCGATCATAAATATTACGACCCTGGCCTAATCAAGGAGTTCGGAAGCTCGATCGAATATCGAGCTTGTTATCACAATATAAAAGTCTTAGATTAACCTATTTTTGTGTGTATAGTTTTAGCTGCATCTGAACAAAGCAGAAAGGTCTGTTTCAAAGTCAATGATGTAAAAAGCAGTAGTATTTCTGGTTATAGAAGTAAATATTCAAATACCTATGAACTAGCAGGGAACGTACCCTTCAAACCATGTGATTTTTTGTGATAAATAAAATGCTTTGAAAATTTTAAAAAAGCATACCTATGAACTGAAAGCATGTTGATATCAAACTAAATGCAGAGCAACTACCTGTCCAAGATTAGGGAATATAATGCTTTTGTTATGCTAATTCAAGGAAGAAAAAACGCAGATGGATTAACCAAAATTAAATGCGAAATTGATTGAAGTGTGGATGTACATTAAAAGCAACATGTCCCACCATCTATTTACGTTCATTTTTTCTCGTGTTGAAGTATTTATATTTAAGTTCCTTTATAATTATGAGATACTTATATACTATATCTTGCTTGTTTTTTATATTTCATTTATCTTTCCACTAGCACATATGCATGGAAATGGATTCATATCCCTCAGCCGTTTTCTTCTTAAATGAAATGACTGATGCCAACCTTTCAATCCTCTCATCATTTATTTATACTCCTCAAATTTAAGAAAAATGAAGAGACCAAATTGCACTTTTTACACCACTACATATAATTTCTCTATTTATTGTTGTAAAAATAAGCCCCCTCTTCCTCTTTGTAATAATATTATTTTAATTTTCAAACTAAAATTTAAGATTTTATCGTTGGAATTTTTTTATCTATGCTAACCAATGCTATTAAGTAAATCCTAACGCAAGTTATGAGAATCAAACTCGTGCATTAACATATAATTAATAATTTAAAAGTTACTTGATTGTCCCCGTAGAAGATAAAATTAAGGTTAATAAGATAAAAAGAAACATTCTAAAATTGATATTTTCTTTTGAAAATATTATGTTTTGAAGTTTTTGGAAACAACTAAAGGTAAAAGTTGAGTGCTTGGACCACTTTTTGAGAAAAAATCTCTTGAAAAGCATTAATGCTAAATTTTTTGTAAAAACTTACTTTGTATTGTTTTTGGATTTGGCAAAATATTTTTGCTGTAATTGATTTTGAGAATTCAATTCAAATGGAGAAATCTTCTTTGGTTTATACTTTATATATATACTAGGAGTACAATTTATTTAGAACCAAAAAAATGTTACATTGAATTGTTTTCTGTGGAGAAAAGGTGCTTAAAGGTGGGTCCCAGAGAAGACCTATAGACGAATGACACTAATCCAAAAAGAAAGGGGCACGGGTGTCACACGTGTCCAGATAAGTCTAGGCTAGGCCCACAAAAACCAATGAAACCAGTGTTGCCACAATCCACAATTGGGCGATGGAAAGCACGTGCTCCCTCAACCAAAAAACTCTGTCACACAGACGCACATATTCATATCCCCCCTCACTTTCGTTTCTCCAAAGTCTTTCTCTCTCTAAATGTTTCCTCGCGTCCTCTCTCTAAAACCGTCTAGTCTGTGGTGATGTTGATCCTCTCTGCGTCTCCTTCTTCCTCCACTCTCTCTTCTTTTTCTTCTTCACACATTTCTAGGCCTTTAATTTCTTCCTCATCTTCATCTTCTGCTTCATTTTCAACTTCTCTACCAGTAGTAGCAGTCAAAGCTGGTGCGAGGCTACTGTCAATTCGGAAGTTACGGTGTGCGATTTTCTGTGCTTCCAAGGTTCGTGGAATGGCTGAAATAGTTGAAGAGAAGAAGGAATCGAATTCAACTGCTGCTGCTGCCGCCGCCGCCGTCGCAGTTTCTACTTCTGAGAATCATGAGCTTCCACAGTTGCGTGCCTTCCTTGACGCTCGTACTGGAGAAGGTTTATTTCTAGCTACTCTTTTTTTTTTTTTTAATCAATTTGAAATATCTTGTGCGTTTTGTGCTATGTCAGTGTGGTTTATTTTCTATCCACTCGTGCATTTTTGTGCGTAATATGTCAGTGTCTATTGTACGCATTTGCGGTACGACGTCGTTTTTGTTCGAATGCATTGAAATACTTGATATTCTTCACAGCTAACGATGCTAAACATACAAGACACTCGCAAATGCGCGTGTAGATTTTTTTTCTTTTCGATGAGAGCTTATATTTCTGTTTTTTCCTCTTCCTGAACTTCAGTTTGTTTGCTAGGATAAAAATTCTGTTGAGCTGATGGTTAAAAAGTAAGGATATTCCATTTAGCATGGACTTTTACTGTGAATTTCTTAGAGTTATAATTGTTTTGCCGCATAAACAAGTGAACTCTATATTCAAGGTAAATTAAAGCGATGGAGATCTGAGGTTTGTTTAATATTTTGTTTTTCCTAACAGTCCTATCAAATAGACTTGTAGGAAAAACGTTCCATTCTAAGAGATGAATTGGTCACAAGGGCAGTTTCAGTAGTGGTATTAATTGAATTGATTTTTTTAATATAAAATTGCAATAAATAGCATACTGGTCTTTGGAAGCATGCTTGAGAGTTCAGACACCATTTCAATGAATTTGTCAACCTTGATGCACAGGGAAAGTATGTTTTGGTTACAGTAAGCTCAATGAGTGTTCCTCTATGAAAACACATCAGTTGGGCTTTGGTGCTTCAACTTCATAGGGACATCTTAAACTGACAACTAGCAGAACTAAACTTGAGGAACGGTGCCACTATAACGTAATGTGAGTCCATCTTGATGATGGTGCTCGGTAATTTGTGGATGGTAAGAAACTCGAGACAATTAATAGGGGATGTGATGAGGGGAAGGATATATATTGAAGGGTAAGGCTAAATAAAAGTTAGAGGTTGAAAACCTTTTTATGAACATCAAAATAACCAGATGAACTACCAAGACAGGATTGTTAAAGAGAATTAAGAAGCTAACTGGTTTCTACTCTTTTTTGCTTTCTCTTTTTCCATCTGTTTGGTTTAAAGGAGTTGATTGCTGAGAGGTAAAAGCTGTAGACTAATTTGCATTAGTGTTATTAAAAGCCATCGCTTTGTCGCTTAAAGCGATGAAGTGAAGCAAGGTGTTGTTGCTTCATATGTAAAACCATGCGCCTTAGAGAAGTTTGCGCTTCAAACAATGGTGCACAACGCGAGTCCCACGAGAACCAATCGCTTCTTTGAATCTCAAGTTTGAGGAGTTGGACTAATATGGCACTATTGTATATTGGGTGTTGAAATTAGTAGTTTAATTTCAATTTAATTCTTGTTATACTAAATTCGTAGATGTTTAATTTTTTTTTTTATTTCCTGTAAATTGTGTTGTTCACTTCAGGGAAAGGTGCTCTTTCTTCTCTCTTTTCGTTTCAAGCCTCATGGACCTTGTCGTTATTTTTGTGCTTTTGGATTGTAAAAACATTGAATGCGTTGGCCCCCAGGTCTTTGGTCTAGCGGTAAGAACGCAACGTGTGGCCTTCTTTGATGAAGCATTCGGGGTCTTTGATTCGAGCTAGCTTACACTTCTTTGTTGTCGTAGCTTATAAATCACAAAATTTATGCAAAGATTGGAAAACAATGTGGCCTAGTTGGATTTTTTTATAAGGCATCACCTAGTTGGATCTTGACTGACATAACACATACACTTATACCATCTTCCCACATGGCTGCTAATTCTGTTGGGGATTAGACGCAAATACCACTTTTAAGCACTCTGTGGTCTAGATGCTATTCTTATAGTTTCACTCGACATATTTTAACTTGTTCAAAATGTGAAAAGGATTAGCTAAGTTTTCTTTCTGATACTGTCTTTAGCTCCTTTGGATATCTTCTCCATTGCTGTTTGAAGGATTTCATTTCCTCTGCTAATTATCATGATCTCATAATTGTTTCGACTGCTATCTTGTTACGCTGAAAATGTGCAAGTAGCGGCATGAGGGAAAAGTCTTTGTAAAGAAAATCACTTTAAACACTTTAAACTATTTCATGTCTAATGATATATAGACTATGTAAATCGTATACTGGGTATACTCTAGTGGAAAATGTTTATCCATCAAGAAATATATTTAAAGAATTATGTACTTGACGTAAAAGCAAAACTGTCTCTTTTTCCTTATGAAAAAAAAGTACTTGGCATAAATAAAACTTAAAACTATTGTACACATGCAGTCTTAAGTTTCTTGTAAAATAAGTTGAGGTATAAAGTTATGTTTCTTTGTCATCAAAAAAGTATAAAGTTATATTTCGTCATAAAAAAAAGAGTATATTAAGGTTCTTAGACTGCTTCCTCAAGACTTTAATGGAGCATTTTTCCTTCCTTTCCATGACTTTTGCACCACCACATTCCTTTCCTTTGTCTTTTTGGGTAAACTCAATTAAATCCTATCCTGTTTTTTTTTTTATTATTTTGGGCTGTGAGTTGTGCCTTTTTTCTCTTCTATATTCCCTACTTGAAATTTCTAATCAAAGAAGATTGATTTGGAAAGATTAAAAGGACAGACATCTGAAGCAGTTCACAACTAGTGTGCCTATCTTAGGGGCTAGTTATCTACATGAAATGTACAAAGTAGGATCTTAAAAACATGTCATGTTTGGCCATTCCTTTTGCTGTTAATGGCTTACTTTTCTCTCCTTTATTTGAGGTGATTCTGGATTAGTGTAGAATTTCTTTCAATTAGTGATTTGTTGGTTTTGAGGGTTAAAGAGTTGGGAGACTGGTGAATCGGTAACATATGTTTCACTTATAGGCACTGGTTTACTGTTTTCTGGAGTCGAGCAAAAATTTGGAAATACCTAGTTCCAACAGGTGCTTTGTCGTGCTGTGAGAAGTGCCACATCTGGAAGAAAGAGCAAAAAGAAAGGAAATGTTCTATTTTTTTTTTTTTAATCTATGTTATGAGATCGCTTTAAGCATTTATATGTTGTCTACTTTGTGTTTCTTTGGGTTCTTTTGAGGTATCTCATAGGTTGATTTGCTACATGGTGTCTAATATGTTTTAGCATGTATGGGTGCATTACTGTTGGGAAGTATTTTGTTGATATTATTTACCTGTCAAAAAGAGAAACCTTGGGCATCTTACTGAGGGTTGGATTGCAATATACATTTTAAGAATAGCAGAACTGCTGCCGAATTCTTGAAAAGTTCTTCTTAAAAGGATTTGGAAACCTACTAAGATGTTGTGGCAGTTCGTAAGTGTAAGACCTTGTTGACGCTTGTCTAGTCACCTTACCATCTTTCACTGGCTTGGCTTTGCTTGCTAAATTTAAACATACTGCTCGGCAGATGCCTTGTCCTCGTGTATAGTGACATGTATTTTGGTAGATCGCTTCTAATTGTTTTGAATGAACCTTTTTCTATTTTTTTCCCCTGCATTGAGTGTTCTCTTTCTTGTACAGACTTGCTATCTGCTATTCGGAAAGCAGTGGAAGATGAAAAACTGCCGCTTAATGTTGCTGAAGGGATGGAGGAGTTGTATCAGAACTATCGGAATGCAGTAAAATAACTTTCTTCAGCCTTATGATTAATGTACTTTTTTGGTGTTGGTTCTTTGTCCGCTTAAATGTGTTTGGTCATACATGTAAGAATCTTCTTGAATGAACATACGTTCTGGGGGTATAACATGCTATCTTAGGGTACTAAAGAACATTATAATATATTTAAGATGGTGAACGTTTATTTTGTTTCTTCTATTGTATTTGATCATTTGGGTTTTAGTGGATGGTACTATACAACCATGTGCTGTTGGGTATGGAAAAATAAAGTTCACATTTCAAAGTCAAGGCATCAAAACCTCTTTCTGTAGTGTACCAGTAACAGTAGTTAAAACTTTGGAGCTGGAAAAGGTAAAATGGAGAGAGAAGCCACAATTTGACATGTCTTTACTTATCCATAAACCAATTATGTGCTGGAAAGACATTAGTATGAGGCCAAGTATTTGCAGAAAATGACCTCATGATAATAGGTTAAGCCCTTGTGAAGAGTTTATGTATAGACTGTCACTCGACATGTTCCTTATCATTTCTTCCTGGAGCATGGAATATATGACCTTGGGATGGCAGAACTCTAACAGACATAAATCTCTTTAACAAGTTGCTTATAGTTGAATTTTCTTCTTTTCTTGGTTTGTCCTATGTGTCTTACTTTTTCCTATGCCTCAAGCTACATCTTAATTTGAATGTCAATGAATTGGTCTGCTACTTGCTTTCTCTTTCCAATTAAAATGTAGAAAAGTTCATTATCTCCTTCTCAGAAGAGTACTTCTTTTAGACTTAAGCATATTGTCAATCTGTGAGGACTAACTTTATTTTGTGATACCCATGTATTGCTTTTCTTAGAGAAAGAATGAGTCCGTTGAGACCCAAAATTATTTGGCATTTTCTTTTTTGTTTATTTGAAACTTCTTGTGGGTCATGTGCTTCTCTTGATTTCTCCTGATTGCCTTTTCTTTTCTTTTTAAGGTTTTACAAAGTGGAGTACCCAAAGCAGATGAGATCGTTTTGTATAACATGGCTCTTGTGTTGGATCGTATTTTTGTGGATGTGAAGGTAGTCCTCTTCCATGTGGGTTTTACAATTCACACTAAAAGTTGGGATTTATATCTTTGTTTTCTTACTTCAGACATGCACACGTGTATTCTGTCAAGTTGTTAAAATGCGACATCGTAAATGTGGCAACACCCTTTGTTTCAGGATCCTTTTGAGTTCTCGCCACATCATAAGGCCATTCGTGAACCTTTTGACTATTACAAGTTTGGCCAAAATTATATCCGCCCTTTACTTGATTTCAGGTCAGTCTCAATTCTATTTTGTTGCGTTAAAGATCAAGCAATAGTTTGATTAACTTAAAATTAGTGTGGTTCTTTTGACCTGGTTAATGACTGAATTCATAGGCATTATTCGTGTAAACAACATAAAGATATCCTCTGAACTGGGTGTGGTCCACACATTTTTGTCACTGTATCCACCAGCTTGTTGAGATCAATAAATTCAGACCTGGCCTGCTCTATATGGCCTCTTTATACCTGGTAGATAATGGAATGATGCAAGGTACAGATAAGCTAGTACTAGTTCATACAAGGTTGGCAGGTGGGGGAATATATGTGAGAATAACATGTTGCAAATTTAGGTTAAGAGACTGATAGTAAAACTACTGAAATTGCTTATATCTTAAGGGGAAAGGGATTATGTCATGTTAGAATAGTTGTCCTAATGGCTAGTAGAAAATCATTTTGATCATGATGGAAGGGATAGCTAAATCGTTTGCATTTATGTACAGGGAAAATACTTTTTGTTATTACCCTAATTTTTTCCTCATTGCAGTTGTAAGTTTAATAATGTTATTTTCTCCATTGGTTGGGAAAATTCTCCATCTATTTTTAGCTGATAGAAAGAGCCAAGTCATTGCTCTATTCTGATGAACAATTTGTCATGTCCTAGTATCTATTCATTATTTTTACCCAGCGATGATTAGCATGCCTCATAGTATTCCCGCAGTAAGAAGAATGACACAATCGAAGTACTGTGCGCCTAACAATCTATCCATTCGATTGGACCTTATTCCATTGATTTTATGATCTAAATACGTATATTTAGAAGCTATATAAAAATTATTTTGGACTTTTTAAGTTTAAAAATATAAAACACTGATAAGAAAATCATAATTAAAGAAAAATGTCATTTGACTCTTCAAATAGTAGTAATTATGTGAAACGAAAAGGGATAGAGGGAGTATGTTGGTTTTGGTGACATATCAAAGGAGGAGCAACCTATTATAGTTTTCTAAATTTGCTTTGTGCATTGCATGTCATTGCTTTACTGGTATGTAGATAGAGATTTTGGAAGAGATGAAATAATAAATCTCCTGAAAGGAGGAACAATTAGCAAAAAACCTTACAAATTGTGGTCTTGTAGTCATTGTATGAACAACTTAATCACCACATAGTGGTGCTACTACTTAAGTTGATGTATCTATTTGACTGTTTAATGGCTAGTTTGTGTTTAGCACTTCACTGAGTTGTGTGGGTCGATTTACCAAGTGACAAGTCCATGTTTTCCCGTTAATGTACAATTATAGCATTTATTGATGGTTAGCCATTCATGTAAAATTGCTATAATGTGGGGGTGTTACTCCTCTGTTAAATAGTGAAGTTGCACATTTTTGAGTTGTGGAATTGATAGGAAATTCAAAATCTGTATTGCGTGTCAGATAAGTATGATGGTACATTGTCTTTCATAAAAAAGGTATGATGTTAGATGGTTGTGTTGTTCAAGGAACTCACTATGCCTCTACCAGGGCCCGCTGATGAACAATATCTCTATTATGGACAGGCATGGCTCATTTATTACAAAAAATTTAATCAGCTTTAGAGAATACATTTCAAATGTGGTTAATAGCAAGCTCTTTGGCCTTTTGCATTGAAGTAAACAGCCCTGTGCCCTGCAGATCACGATTTATTTCTGACTCTAACCTCTAGCATTTTTGACTTTTTAGGAGTTCTTATGTTGGCAATATATCAGTTTTTGGTGAAATAGAAGAAAAGCTCAAGCAGGTTCGTTATTTCAGGCTTTCAGCGTGTCACTATTTATTATTTTCTTCTGTGTATGTGATAGTATGAATAAGGGGATAGCTATATTGCTTGGTCTGCGGTTAAAGTGAAACAGTTGAATTGAAACTTTATACTTGCCATGAGATCTCACTTGAGACCTGTCATGAAATAATCAGCCCAAGCATAAAACACTTTTGTTGTTCTTGTACTGGTTGGGCTCTGCTTCCGTGTGGCTCTTTAAGTGGTTTTGGTAAATCAAATGAAAGGTTTTGCTAACTGAAGTTGGCATACGATCTGCTAAACAATTATAGCTCCTTCATGTAAATTTCCTTGAATAATCAAGTAATGCTGGGAAAAATTTCTAGAGCACATTCTCAAAACATGAGCTTAACATGGCTTTGGTTTTCACACCCCTTACAGGATTTGCCGTACTGGATGTACTAGATAATGTTTCCTAATTTCTTCTCTATTCAGCAGCTTCCTTGGCGGGGATGAATGTACATAAGACTTTGTAACTACTTAGCTTTAATACGTTATGTATTTGGTTGAATTATATTAATATTCCTACTTCAGAGCTTCTATTATCTTATGCTGGTTTGTCCTTCTTCTTAATGAAAAAATTTAGATGATCTTTCTCATTTTATGCATTTCGTCTTTCAAAAGAAGTTACTTGCCAGTTAGAACTATGTGCTCTCCTTATCCATCAAAATTATATGCTCATTATTTAAAAAGAGACACGAATAAATAATCTTCGCTCAAGATGTTGTGGGTGGACCAGCTATTTATTTATCACCTGGATATTCGCTGGTTTACGCCTAAAAGGATCTTCTTATAAAGTTGAATATTCTTCTTCGATGCTGTATAGCACTATATGGAGAGCTCTTGAGTGCTTGCAGTACAATTTGTCCTGAAGAAAGATTAAAAATTTTATAAAAATAAATAAATAAATAAATTACTGTGAAGTCTTGGTTCTTTTCTTGATATTTCATTTTCGTACTCCGTTTACTGTTTAAAAAGCTCAAACTTGTTAGTCGATATGTTTGCCCAGTTCTTCTGTTTGTTTCTTTTTCTTTTTTTTGTGGGGATAAGGGCACAGTTCTTCTGTTGCATGGCTTTTTATATTTTATCTTGATCCTTTTGCTGTTGTCCTAACTGAATCCAGTATCTCGTTATACTAATTTCAGGGCGATAATGTTGTTTTGATGTCAAACCATCAAAGTGAAGCAGATCCAGCGGTTATTGCTCTGTTGCTTGAATCGAAGCACCCATACATTGCTGAGAACATAGTTAAAATCATTTTCACCCAATTGCACTTTATAAGATAATTATACCTCAAGCAGCTTAATTCACTAATATATGCTTACTGTTAAACAGATCTATGTTGCAGGAGATAGAGTTATTACTGATCCTCTTTGCAAGCCATTCAGCATGGGAAGGTGCTTAAATAGATAAGTAGCATTGTCAAAATATGTTCAGAAATCATCATTTACTTTAGACATCTGACAAGCTTTTTATGTCTAGGAATCTCCTGTGTGTTTATTCGAAAAAACATATGGGTGATGACCCCAAACTTGTCGAGAAGAAAAAGAGAGCAAACACAAGAAGCTTGAAGGAGATGGCTGTGCTATTGAGGTACATATGCTGGTAGTACTTTGTCCTTTTTGGAGTATTTTGATGAAGCTTTTACTTTGCAAGTTGTGGTGCCAGTAGTCTCGGGGTTCTATTCTGGAGACATTATTACCAATATTATCTGTGCCAATCTCTAATCAAGATTGTCTCTGCTAAGTTTTATAAATGAAACGGAAGATTCTCTCTTTAAAGTCTGTGTAGTGGACATGATTAAAAATGGCAAGCTAAACCTAATATTGCATGTGTGGTCCTATTATTTCAATCTCGTCTCATCTTCTCTAGCTATCGAAAAAGCTTGTTTTATTAGATGTTTGATAGTTCATTTTCATGAGGGAGTTCAACCCCACTTGATTAATCTGCCTGGAAGAAAACCAAAGAGCAAGTTGTGGTAAAAATGATGTGTAACGTGGAATGTGTAGTAGATACTACAAATATGATAGACGGAGGTTTCCTCATGAATTTGGATATGCGAAATTCAATTATCGTCCACCATATGACTGCTTTATCGGGTTCATACTCTCAAGTCCTAAAGTGTTGGGTGAGTAACTGAATGCCATCGTTCGCATAATAATACAAGAGAACATCTTAGGATATATATACTTTTGGCAATTCGAGATAGCCCAATTATTGCCCCATTTGATGGAAGCATACATCTGAGGATACATGTACTTGTGGTCCAGGGGTGGATCAAAACTAATATGGATTGCTCCTAGTGGTGGAAGAGATAGGCCAAACCCTGTTACAAAAGAATGGTATCCAGTAAGATTTCTTTTTTGATTTTGATTATTGTTCTGTTTTCCTATATATTAGTTTTTACATTCTATTTTGATGGATGTAAATTTTATAAGCGTGGCCAACATCCTTTCATGATAATGTATTTTCTCAGTTTCATTCTATATGACTCTGTTTGAACGAAGGAAGAGTTTCAGATGTTAATTTGAATCTGCATTTTATTAGTGGTAGTAGAGGAAAAAAAATATATAATGGTTTAACAGTTAGTTTGATAAAGAAAACATCACAGAAAATTTAAAATTGGAATATTAAAATGAATTTGAATTGTTGTATGTTGTACAAAGTAACAATACCAGCGGAATGGTGAAAACACTTTGGGAAGTCCCAAAGTAGAAAAACTGTTATAAATTGAAATGGAGGAAGTATGTGTTATTGCCGTATTCATTCTTAATACCTTTGGGGGAAATATGTTTTCCCTGCCTAGGCAACAGGGGAAGGCTCCCACATATTCTGGATTACATCTCATGCCAATTTGCATAGGCAACCGACTGTATGAAAACAAAAAAAAATAAGCAACTAAAAATGCTAGTGGGTTGACGAATTGTTGCTTTACACAAATAACTAATATTACTTGAACTGTAAGTAAAAAAGAAAAGGCTAACTAGCTTTGTCCAGGAAGCACAACAAAAGAATACTAGTAGGCAGAAGCAGCGGTAAGAAGGCCGATGTCAAGTGAAATAAGTAACAATAGCATTCAGTTGTCTTCACAACAGGGCAACAACCCTGATTCCGCGAGCTGTAATGTTTTTTTCTTGGTTGAGACCACCTGATTGAAGGAAACCTCTGCACTATCTGCATTAATCGCCTTTTGCGCATAAGATGTCTCTTTGTTTTATATGTCACTTGATGGCTTCTGTAGGAGCTTTCCCTCTCTTTCCCGTCTGTGCTTTCCTCTCCGTCTTTCCCTTCTTTGAATAAAAAAGCCAGGAAGTCAGCCAGTCTGTTCTAAATAAGGGTAAGTGCCATCTAAAGAAGTTCATCCGCTGATTAAATAATCTGCTGTTCTTGATTGCTTCTCGCTAGATGAACTTCTTTAGAGGGTTAATTAGACTTGTCCGACGTATTGTGTCAACAATTTGTGTTCCTGACAGTAGCCGCTTCCTAGGTGAGGTTGTTCATACGCTAGTAACTTTTAAGGCAGAGCTAACTGTTTTTATCCTCTTGATATAGCAAAGGTACATACTACGGTTTACTGCTTCTATTCTGTATGTTCAGCAATAAACTTCTCCATTGCATTTGCCTTGTGACAGTTCTAGGATAATGTTAGCTCTGACAATTTCTCTTTTTTCTCTTAGCATATAATATATCTATATATAGTGTGTACCTATGTATGATGAACAATTGGTTTCAAAAGTTTTGGTATTTATGAACCTTGCCATGATGTGTTAATTAAGAGATGCTTTTGTTATTGTATCCAAATTAGCCAAGGATCCATATAGGTACCAACTAGTTGGGACTAAGCTAATCATTTGTGAAGGGATAAGTGGGAGGTTTAGAGAACCCATAATCATATAACGGGTTCCAACTGATCTGAGACTGATGCATAGTTGATTGATTGATTCTGTCCAATGTGCGGTTGACTCTTTTTGCTTGTCTTTCTTCAGGCGCCATTTGATGCTTCCTCAACAGACAACATGAGAAGGCTTGTAGAACATGCTGGAGTCCCTGGTCACATTTATCCTCTAGCAATATTATGCTATGATATTATGCCCCCTCCGCCCCAGGTTGGTTTATGTGACAACTATGTTTGTTTCTGTAATGACTTTACATTTTTATATACCCCTGCTTGCTTACGTACAGGTTGAGAAAAATATTGGAGAGAAAAGAATAATATCTTTTCATGGAACTGGCATATCCGTGGGGACCAAAATTGATTTTCACGAGGTTGCTGGTGCTTTGGAAGACCCTGAAGAGGTTAGTTGTTAGAGGTTTTCCGTTTAATTATTGGAAGCTCTTTTTGGACTAAATTCTGCAGCCTAATGAGAGGTTTAGTAAATATTTGTTGGGAGACTTGAGGGAACTTATTGTATTTAATACTCAAGCTGGCGTGGACACCACCATCATTTAAAGAGAAAGTAAAAAAAAAACTATTTTGATTTAACAGAGAAAGAAAGGAGAAGGAAAGTCGGACAAAAATCCACTTTTCATATGCATTTTTTTTTCCTATTTTGAGACCAAATTAACAACAACAACCACCCAGTATAATTCCACTAGTGGGGTCTGGGGAGGGTAGAATGTACGCAGCCTTACCCCTACCCTGGACGGGCAGAGAGACTGTTTCCGATAGACCCTCGGCTAAAAAAGGTGAAAGAAGCCCTGATAGCAAGTAATAGCAAGACAAATAATTAGAAAACTAAATCGAAGATAGCAACAGAGAATATGAAAGAGGTACCGATAACAAGTAATGGCACGACAATATATTTAGAAAACTAAATCCAAGGCAGCAAACGAGAATATGAACGAAGTACTGCTAGCAAACTACGGAATTACCGATGACAAGTAATAACGGAACAAGACATGCGAATATAGCAAACTAAGGAAAAAAGGGTACCGGACTAGCACTAATACTACCGAACTAGAGAAGACAAAGGGAAACGCACGATTACCTACTAACCTTCTACCCTAATCTTTAACCTCCACACCCTTCTATCAAGGGTCATGTCCTCGGTTAGCTCAAGCTGCGCCATGTCCCGCCTGATCACCTCTTCCCAAGACTTCTTTGGCCTAACTCTACCCCTCCTCTCACCTCCCAAGGCCAACCTCTCACATCTCCTGATGGGGGAATCTGTGCTCCAGAGACCAAATTAACAGGTGATCAAAATGAACGCTATTGATCTTTGCTAAGACCCGTGTTCCTAGAAGTTTTGATTCCTTCAGTTGAGCTATTCTCTTGACGGTGGAAAGTTAAGAAGAAAAGCTCCACAGCAACTATCAGTGTGCAAGTAAAACATTTATTGGACACTGTTTTTGTTTTATTCATTTCTTGTTAAGTTATTGCTGTAAACTGAAGCTAAATATGCATTTGTAGCTTGCTGAGGACTGTGAAATCTGTTTCCATATCAAAAGAAGCAAAGATGGAAATTTATGATCTTTTTTATTTTTTAACAAACAAGACTGAAATGTACCTTCTAATTTGCTAATAAGAAATTATAGTATTCCATGGAATTCAAATGATGATGAATTTTCCTGGAGTGTTGATAATGTAGGAAGTTGGTGAGACTTCAGTTCAACTAATTTCCAATATAAAGCCACCTCCTTTAGGTGTTAAAAGCCACCTCCTTTAGGTGTTAACTGACTTGTTTGGCTGTCAACCTTCATTCCTGTGTTTTCTCTTTTATTTAAGCATGCCTAAGCTGTTCGGCTGCTGTACTTGGCAGTTGTACAGTTAGTTTTTCTACCTCTTTCTATAGTTTCAGTTTTCTGTTTCAAAATTCTTCTCCTCTTCCCACAATCTCTCAGACCTTTAGCTCAAACATTCTTCTTTTGTCTCTCTTTTCTGTCATTCAGTAAAGAAGATGGTTTAACTAATTTCACTGCTTTCCGACCTGAAGCTCAAACATTTCCCACTTGCCTCTGCTTCCTATCGATCATTAAAGGAAATGATTTCACCAATTCACTGTATTCTTTCTTTTCATAGTAAGAATTCTCTGTAATGTTCTATTTCCACGAGTCTTTCTATCTCAGATTGATGTCCCATTTTACAGCCCAAGATATGCATCTTATTTTTATGAGATGCCGCTGGCACTTTTGTTTTCTTTCAATCAACTGTCATCATTCAAAGCTGCTATTTCCTCCCCCCTCCTTCCAAATAGTGGGGAAATGCATTGTGGTTGGTCTTTTTGATCAAGGAAATTGGAGATGAATCCATGAAAGCTTTAGAAAACTGCACCTAATGTGAAGGGCGTAAGAGTGGATACTGTTCTTAATGCAGGCTAAGATGGTCTACACAAAGGCACTTTATAACTCTGTAAACCAGCAGTACAACGTGCTAAATTCTGCTATACATGGCAAACAAGGACAGGAGGCATCAACTCCCAGCATTTCGTTATCACAACCATGGCAGTAGCTTCTGTTCCGACTTTATTTTCCATACCTTGTTGCTTCAGTCAGGTATGTACTTCACCCACTAAAAATCTGTTGAATAAATTCAGAACTGGAACATTTTGCTTATATCGTCGCGTCTCTGAGTCAATTTTTATGGGTATATATGTCTCTGAATTACACTAGTTTGCAGATGTTTGTTTGGAAGTTATAACCAAATCACAAGGATAACACTCACAAACTATGCCACACTTTGCGCTTGCATGTGGTTGGTCTATGCGGAGAGTTGTCCAATTGATACGAACAAGTAATTCTCGAAGTTACAGCCTACATAACCCGAAGGAATTTTTTTGCAGGGCTTAGATAATTCTTTTGACACGAATGTATAGTTACTTTTACCTTGTATCTACTAAATGTTGGATCTGAATCTGTTAGCAATGATAGCTTTCAAGCACTGTCAATTCTGACCTTTTAAGTAAGTGTACGTAGCTATCCTAGATTGCTCATCTTACCTTAGAAGCGGTAATCCAATATAATAAATGCTCTGCAACAGTTCTGCTTGTTAATAGTTCCTATAACTGTGAGATGCTGTTTGAACTACATAAATGTAGTCAGATTTAGTTTCAACGGCAGTGGCTATTAACCTATTTTACTTCGATTGACTTGTAGTTTGCTCTACAGTATAGGTAATCCAGGATGCAGATGGAAGCATCCTGGTCACCCTTTTTTATCAATCAAGTGGAAGAGGAATGGTAGCTACTACAATGAGCCTCTGGAACCCCTAATGAAAGGCCTTTTAGCATGATACGTAGTGGTACTGAATATGATAGCATGCATGTATTGCAAACGATTGTCGTGCCTCATTCTGTTGTCTCTCCTATGTACATATTTGTTCATAATCTTTCTCCACCTAACCATCTGCTTCCTTGGTTAGCCCCTCTACATTCCTTTCTTTCACGCGGGTACTGACTGCAGTGTTCTTTTTGGTAACTGGCTTTCGGGTGTCTTGTTTCAACTGAAGAGATTGTGTAGGTGAGGCTTAGGAAGAATATGTCTACCGGAACTGATATGTTAAAAATAATAGTAGCAAATATTGCACCAATCTCAATAGCGAAAGTAGTCACGGCAGCTTCCTTCCCCATCTAAGTATTTATTTCTTTTATGCAGGTTATAGCTAAGTATCAAGACATAATAAATGATATATATGCTCATTGGTCATGACGACTGAATGCATCTCTTGGTTAGTACCGATGGGGAGTGGTACTCCGAGACAATCTCAGCTCTCAGGACTAACGAGGACATGCATGTGAGTTGAGTGTGTGGCTAGTACAATTTAATTGAATACTCCATCCAATACTAATTAATTCGTAATTAGTAGTATCTCTTAACTCAGGAAAAGCTTAAAAGACATGATAAAAATAATTAATTAAACCAACTAATGTCAAAAGGCAAGGTGAGTAAACTAATGACACCACCGAGTAAAGTGACGTTTGTTCATGGTGAAATTTTTAGGAATGTTAACTTTAAAAGTCTGAGAGATGTACTTTGTATTGATTTTTTTTATTATTACTTAATATGTTCATTTACTAGTACTATCAACTATATATTGCTATTCAACTTAGTTAAAAATTAAGCAAAATATCTGTCAATGAAAGAATAGACAATTTAATTTTAAAATATATATTTATACTATAGACTTTATTACGATGTTCTTATTTCTAAATTCTAATCGATAATGCATGTAAAAGAAATGATGTTGGCCTATATGACTAGTGACAAGTGGTCCTGCAAAATTTGCTGGAAAGAATATATTAGGGCCGTAGACGCCTATATGAGATTCTAATAATGTCGTGGTATGCTTAATTATCTATTAACGTAATTATATTAGAGTATTTAAATATGAGTGTAAATGGCCGCCTATAAATAGTCCGTAGTGGGATAGAGTGGGTGATATGCTCATATAACAGCCAATCCTATTAGAGGGGATTTGACTAAGCTTATAAGCTAGTAATTGACTTATAAGCATTTTTTGGTTTATCTATGCATTTTGGTAAATATCAAAAGTGGCTTATAAGCCAAAATAAGTCATAAGTTAGATTAACTCCAACTTATGATTTTTTAACTTATAAACACTTTTGGTTTGACAAATAATTTTACTCTTTTATCCCTATTATTTTGTTATAATCTTTGAAATACTTCCTCTAAAACAAAAACCTAAAACCTACCGTTCTTCATGACTCATTCAATCACCATTTTTTCCAGACGAGCAATACCTCCTTAACTTCCTCTACTGTCTAAGAACAATCAGATTGGTAATTGGTACCATTTAGGGTAGAAAGTTTCCTTTACTTTCTTAAATTATTTGCTAAGTCCTTTTTGCATCTTGTTGTATAATTAGAGATCTGGGTATGTTCCTAATTATTTCTCAATCTCTTAAAAAAGAAATAAAGAAGCATTGTGTTTTAAAGGGGAAAACGTTAATGTTGTTCAACAACATATATTGCCCAGATTCGAAATTTCTCTTGTTCTTTGTATTAAATATGAACCAAACGATTATTCTTTATTTTATTCCTTACACTGTAATGACGTTCGTTCAAATTATTAATTGTTTTATTTTAACTTATGATTGTATTTTAGTTTGTCACAATATAATTTGATAAAAAATAATGTTAATCTAACAAATTTTGCATAAATATTAAATTGAGACATAAATTATAATTGTATTTGAATCATTCGGTTGAAAATCCTGTAATAAACAACTTTAAGGGCATTTAAGTTATTTTACCCTTTCATCAGATACGAAATTGCTTATTTTATAAATCAGCTTCAAGACTAAGAGGGTGTTTGGCTAAGCCATTTTTGGCTTATTTACGCGTTTGATAAAATTAAAAGTGTTTATAAGCCAAAATAAGTCATAAGTCATAAGTTGGTCACCTCCAACTTATTATTTTTCAGCTTATAAGCACTTTAAGTTTGACCAAAATTTTTACTTCTCTATCCCTAATATTATTTCGTAATTTCCGAAATACCCTTACAGAAATAAAACCCTAACCCTCTCCCTACCTTCATTCTTTGACCTTTTTCAGACTTTTCTCGAAACCAACAACTGTGCTGCCAACCTCAAGAAACAATCAAGTTCTGAAGCACTTCCATACGTCAAAGGCATGTGAAAGCTTTCTAGTTTAGAAACTCTTAATTCGTTCATCTTCTTTATTTCAAAAAAATTGTTTGCCCTGTGTTATTAAAAGGAACCTGATAGATGTATAAGTTTTTAGCAAAGAACTGATGTACTTGATGCATAAGTTTTTAGCAAAGAACTGATGTACTTGATGCATAAGTTTTTAGCAAAGTACCAAATATATTAATTATTATATTATAGCTTATGAGTGTATTTTAGCTTCTCATAAATTAATTTAAATTCATAAAAAATAATCTTATCTATTTAAATTTGTATTAAGTAAAAAGAGAAATAAATTATTTTGTACTTGAATCAATTTGGTATCCAAAATCTTGTAAAAGTCACATTTTTATTAATATAAATAACTTTAAGGGCATTTAAGTCACTTTAGCAAAAAAACGTGCTTATCAGCATTTTCCTGCCGAACACTAGCTGTTTATTATCAACTTCATCACTTTTATCCAAACACACAATTACTTATTTTTAAATCAGTTTCAGCACTTAAAAAGTACTTTTTAGCACTTAATGTTTATTAGTTACTTTATATCAGCTAAGCCAAACGGGCTGTAAGGTTTTTTGCTAAGCTTATAAGCTGGTCAAATTGGCTTATGAATACCTTTTGTCTAATCTACGGGTTTGGTAACACCCAAAGTGCTTATAAGCTAAAACCAACCATAAGTCATAAGTTGGTCACCCTCAACTTATAGCTTTTTCGCTTATAAACACTTTTACTGGTTTATCCTTAATAATATTTTCTAATTCACAATACTTTCCCAAAGTAAACTTCTTGACTTTCTCTTCATTCCATAATCGTCGTTAATTCTTTTCTTTACAAAGAAATATTTTAATTTATAATCTTTTGAAAAAAAAAATCAAGGGTATTTTAGTCATTTAACAAAAGAATAGCTTATCAGTATTTTTTTATCAAACACATCAACGACTTATTATCAGTTTTAGCACTTTTATCCAAACATGTAAATGCTTATTTTAAAATCAGTTTCAACACTTAAAAAAAAATTTAGCACTTTAAGTTTATCAGTTATTTACAATCAGCTAATTCAAACGAGCTCTAAAAAATACTTTTCAGCACTTAATGTTTATCAGCTACTTTAAATAAGCTAAGCCAAACGAGCTTATTATTGCACTAGGCTGGCTTAAATCCCCGATGCGCATATTCCTAAAGTGAAATTTTTCATTCGATCATCAGTTTACGTGCTAGTTATTTTATAAAAACAATGAATATGGTATCTGTCAAATACATATAACTTTTAAAAAATATCAAGGAGAAAGTCTCGTAGTGAAATACATTTCCAAACATAATTTTAAATACTATTTTTTTACTTAACTCTAAATACTATTTTTTTTTAAATTATAATATTTTTGTCCAAACGCCTACTTAAAGATTGTTAGATCGACTTTCTAATAACTTTTACCATATTAATATTTTATTTAAATAAATAAACAACATACATTGTTTTCATATCTCTTAAAGATTGTTAGATCGACTTTCTAATAACTTTTACCCTATTAATATTTTATTTAAATAAATAAACAACATACAAGTTACATGCCTCACAGTACAACTATATAGGAAATTCAATTCCCTAGGAGACCTCTCGATCTAGAGATGTACATACATAAAGTAGACTATAATCTAATACTATCCTAATTTTTTTTTGTCGTATCTTAAGAAATCTACCTATTATTAATTAATAATGAAATTGATCATATTAAGTTTAATTTGCTCATTGAAAATATAACAAATTACTTCTAGATTCTTTACTTCAAGAAAAACTTTAATAAAAAAAAAAAAAAAATCTTTCTTGATATCTGAAAAAATAAAATATTATAGACTATAAAAAAAAAACTAAAAAATTAGTTAAAGTGAACGGGAGAAATATGGAGTACTAATAAAGATACATAGATAATCATGATAACTTGGGAATACGAGATGTCTCTGCTGACGATGCACACATTCCAAGCACTTTGATTTGCTGAGCATTTGGATTAAATGTGTCATGATAGACAAAAGTAGCTTCAACTTCTGATATTTATTCACGACTATCTCAGTATTTTGATGAACAGCCATTACTTCAGTAATTAAAGATTCTCAAACATGAATAGGGAAAGCATGGGCATAAAGCGGCAAACCAAAGGTACTTATTTCCATAACACTGACACCTAAAATATGTGCACATTAAATCCTAATAGCCTTGCATAATCTAATAGTTCACGACAGAAAAATATGTATGAGTAGTAGAAATTTTCTGGAATTGCTGAAGTACTGATAAAGACGAGTTTGCTTTTGCATTGCATAGGATATACCAATTAAATGAAATGGAAAAGGAGAATTATATCCATACAACTTGACTTTTGAAGTTTCAATACCGAGCACAAATAAAGAATTACTCCATCCGTTCACTTTTACTTATCCATTATTGACTTTGCATACCCCTTAAGAAATACTCCCTCCGTTCACTTTTACTTGACACGTTTTGACTTTTCACATCCCTTAAAAAATAATAAATGAAGTGCATAATTTACCATGATACCCATATTAATTGATGCATATTTTATTGGATTTGAGAAAATAATTTAAAATGAGTAATAAATATTGTGGGTATAACAGAAAAAAAAAATTATCTTTATTGAATTTGAGAAAATGATTTGAAATGAGTAATAAATACTGTGGGTATAACAGGAAAAAAAATTTATCTTTTCTTGATATGCGTAAAGTGACAAGTAAAAATAAAAATCTACTTTTAGTATACATGCCAAGTAAAAGTGAACAGAGAGAGTAATAAATAAAGTGCATAATTTACCATGATATCCAAATTAATTGATGTATAGTCTTAATAGATTTGAAAAATGATTTGGAATGAATAATTAATCCTAAGGGCAAAATAGAAAAAATAAATTATTTTTCTCTTAATATGCGAAAGTGGACAAGTAAAAGCAAAAATTTATTTTTAAAATAGTGAAAAAGTAAAAGTAAACAGAGTGAGTATTTAATGATGATCCATTTTGTATGGCATTGAATCGAACCCCATTGGTAACTCCTTCCTCCCTAATTGTTACGCGCAGAAAATCGAAGGAATATAAGAAGAGATTGGGTGGAACCCTAGTTTCGAGGAGAGCAAAACTTGAGAACTTTCTTATTGAAATAAAAGTAGATACAAAAATAAAATGAGTTGTGTGCCCAAAAATATTCCCGACCTTTATGTATATACAATCCTATTTATATTCATATTTGTAAAAAAATATAAGTAAAGTCTTACAGGTCTTCTCATTGTTGAATCAATNCCTTCCCCTCCCCCCCATTTCCCGGCAAGTTAAAATGGGCCACAAATCCAAGATCGAAAGGAAAGCATTATGTTGAACACCTGGTAAGGCCTTGGTAAATACATCAACCAACTGGGGACCAATAGAGATAACATATAAGCTAATGGACCAATAGACATAACATATAAGCTAATGGGACCAGATTGAAGCTTTTCACATACAAAATGCCAGTCTATTTTAATGTGTTTGGTACGTTCGTGAAACATTGGATTTCTAGCAATATGAATGGCAGAATAGCTCAAAGAACACTGGTATAAGAGTCAAGGAAGAAATGCCAAACTCCACCAAGCAAACTAACAATCCAAACAATCTCAGCAACTAATTGTCTCAAAGCTTTAATTATACTCAGCCTCAGCTAAAGAAAGAGCAATAGTAGCCTATTTCTTTGACTTCTAAGACACATGGCAGCCTCCAACGATAAAAGGTACTCACTTACAAATTTTCTTCAAGTGAAGCAACTGGCCTAATTTAGAGTCACAGAAACCAGTCAAGGCAAAGGAAGAAAAGTTATTAAACAACGACCCCAAGTCAGGTGTACCAACCAAATACCTCAACACATGTAAAGTAACCTCAAAAGTGTGTAACTCTAGTGTGAGCCATAAACTGGCTAAGATGTTGCGTACTATAAGAGATATTAGGCCTACTGTGTTTTACAAAATTAAACTTTCCAACTAACTTCCTATACAAAGAAGGATCATGAAGGATATCACAAAAAACAAAAAAAAAAAAAAAAAAAAAAAAATTTTTTTTAAAAAAAAAAAAAAAAAAAAAAAAAAAAAAAAAAAAAAAAAATCCAGAGGTAATACCACAGAACTGACATGTAAATAATTGAACACAGAAAGCAACTTCTAGAGAAATTTCTGTTGGGTGGCAAGTATCCCTGAGGCCATTTGATAATCTGCAGTCTCAAGAAATAATGTGCTTCATCCAGATCTTTGATTCGGAACTGATCATCCAAGAATTGCTTCAGGGAAGTGTTCTCAGACAAATCATCACCAGTTAATAGGATGTCATCCACATATACACTGCTACAATAGTGAGAGAACGACCAAATAACTTAACAAAAAGGAAGTAATCATTTTTGCTACGAACATAACCTCTGAACTGAAGAGCAGTGGACACCTTGGCATACCATTGCCTCGGAGCCTATCTAAGTCCATAAAGGTACTTGTTGAGCTTATAAATCAGATTCAAATACAGATCAGAAGACTGAACTTCCAGCCCAAGTGAAACCACCAAATATACCTCTTCATCCAAATTACCATGTAGGAAGGCATTGTTAACATCTAACTGAAAAATGGATCAAACTTTTGTAATAGCAATACTTGGCAAATATTTAATAGCAATGAGTTTAATAATTGGTGAGAGAGTTTCAGTGTCCCTTCTTGTTGAGTGTCCCCCCTATAACCAGCCTAGCCTTGTACCTCTTTGCACTACCATCTGCCTTCTTCTTAATCTTATAAACCCATTTAGAATAGATGACTTTCTTACCATGAAGTAATGAGATAATAGTCCAAGTGTTATTGTCCTTCAAAGCCTGAAATGCTTTTAATATAGCATCATCCCAAGCAGAATTAGAAATTTCATGATGATAAAACTACAGTTCAAGCAAGCAACCCTCAAAAATAGAGTGAGCATCCTTAGAAACAAAAATATTGGTGCAAACATAGTCTTTGAGATAGACTGGAGCTAGAGAAGGTCTGGACCTTCTTAGATGAACAGAAGCATTAGGAACAAAAATATCAAGAAAATAAGTATCAGGATCAAAAAATAAGAAGAATAGATAGAGTGAAAACAGGAGCAGAAGCAGAAGAAATGGAGGATTAACAGGAAATATTAGGAACAGTAACAAAGGAAGGAAAATGCTAGTTGGATAAGAGGGTGAATAAAGAACGACAGATTCAAGAAAAGCAACATCTCTGGAGAAGAAAAGAGTGTATTTAGTTAAATTTAACAACTTATAATCCTTTTTTGTGATGCTATACCCAAGGAATATAAAAGAAACAGTTCTGGAGTGAAATTTATCCTTATGAGGCTTAGGCACAACAGCAACACACAAACAACCAAAAACCTTAAGGTAATAATAGATAGAAATGGAAACATAAAAGTGTTCATAAGGTGTTTTGTGTTATAAAAGAGATGAAGGAAATCAGTTCATCAAATAGGTGATAGTAAGTATACATTACCCCAGTATTTTAGTGGAAGTATAGACTAAAAAGGCAGGGATCTAGCAGTTTCTAGTAAGTATTTGTATTTTCTTTCTACAAATTCATTTTGTTGAGGATTGTGGACAAGAAGCCTGGTATATTATCCTTTGGGATGAGAAGAGAAGAAATAACCTCTACATTGAAATCAAGTTCAAATGCATTATCAGACCTAACTGTCCTGATAGAAGAATAAAATTGATTCTGGATTAGAAAGATGAAAGACTTCAAAAGGGTAAAAGTATTTGACTTGGTGGAAAGTAGATCTGTCTTGGTGGCTCTGAAAAAATAATCTACAATAGTTAAAAGATATTTGAAGCCATAGTAGGTTTGTGTGCGGTAAGAGCCCCATAAATCAATATGAACAAGTTAAAAAGGTGGTAGTTTTAAGAGAGCTGTCAGGAAAAGAAAGACTTTGCTCCCTAGCCATGGGACAAATCTCACAGATAAATGACTATTTCTTAGAGAGTTTATCTTTAAGGTGAGTATGTGACTTCATTTTATGAAAAGGCATATGACCAAGTAGAAGATGCCAAAACATATCCAAATAAAAAATAGAAGAAAAAGAACAAGCAGAAGAACACTCACAAGCAGGAATAATTTTATTAGCTTCGATGTTATTTACAATATGAACAGTAGAAAGACTAGAAGGAATAATTTTATTAGCTTCGATAGTATTTACAGTGTAAACAGTAGAGAGAGTAAAAGAAAAGCAAGCAAAAGTATCAGAAGTAGCAGTCACAGCTTCACCAATTGAAATGGTAGAAATAGACGAAGGAGAAAGTAGCCCAGACTGAAGCAAATAAATCTCATTTGAGATTTTACCAAAAATCAGTGGTCTCTTCAGAGGGCCCTGTAAAACACAATCATAAGCAAAAAATAAGGCTTTACAACAAAGTTATAACAAAAATTGATGTAAGGAAATCAAATTATACTGCAAGGAAAGTACAAGTAAAATATTATGTAAAATCAGATCAATAGATAATGGAAGTGAACCTAAATAAGTTACTTTAACTTTGTAACCATTAGGGAGAATAACTAAGGAATTGCAAGAGTCTTAAGATTGATTAAAAGAGATTTCTGGGGAGTCATGTGGTTAGTTGCACCTGGGTCTATTATCTAAGGATTACCAACTAATCTAGAAAAGTTACATGCAAAAATACGATAATTTCTAGTATCAACATAGCGTACCAAACCTACAAAGGTGGGCAGATCCAGAAGCAATTGTGTTCTCAGAAACTTTAGGCTGTTGGAACAAATTCAACATGTGCTTATATTGCTTCTTTGTGAAACCATAGCTTTTAAAATCAGATTGGTCAAACCTATTGTTAGGGGGGAAAATCATCTTCTGGACCCAAACTCTGAGACTCTGAAACATGAGCATATGCTGCAAGCTTCTTAAATTTGTTACACTGAAAAGTGTTAGTATATCTATGTTTTCTATGGCGTGACTAGGTCATTTGTAGTAATTACACACCACATTGAGCTTCATAGAATCAAAGTTGACCCTCTGGAATAGAATTTCTGTATACTAGCATGAAAAGAACTAGCATATGACTTTTGAACACTAGTGGTGAAAGAGGCAGACTTAGATGAGAATGAAGGAACTGAAGCTTGTGCCTCACACTGACTCTCGTCATTAACTAGCATGGCATAGGTTGTATCAATTTCTGAAAGTGAATTTATTACCAGAATATTTCACCTAATTGTGAAATAATTTTTATTGAGTCCATGAGAAATCGATGAAGCTTCTGATCCTCTTTTAACTTTTGAAAGGCCTCTTTGCAGCCACATACATAGTTAGGGTAAGTAACGGAATATGCTAATTCATCTCATGGTTTCTTAATTCTAAATAAATAGGAAGCAACGTTCGAAGTTCCCTGAAAAATGGAAGAAAGTGCCTTGCGGATTTCCTAATACTTTGCTCCTATTAGGTTGATCATAACGTTTCTCTATATCTTTCATAGCTTTGCGGCAGACTAAGTGTACATCATACTTTTCCTAATCTCAGCTTCTAAGCTATTTAATCCATGTAATTATCATATCATTACAGTGATACCATGCCTCAAACTGGAGAGATATAATAGTAGGTTTGGAAATAGTTCCGTTGATTATGCCTAGTTTATTTTACACGACAATCCAATTAGCATCCCCTTCTCCAACTCCAATAACCTCCATTATGTTGTTGCTAGCAAATATCACTATTTTGAATTTTTGATCTTCCAAATTATTCCCGCCGGAGATCCGAATCATACCATTAGATCGATCAGCAACAATAATCGTACTAGGATTATCAGTAGGATATAGATACATGGAATGTGAGGGTTCAACAGTGACTGAACCCGAAGATATGGTAGAAGCAGAAGTAAAAGATGCAATAGAAATAACATCAGGAGGTGTCATGACATATATCAAAATTAGGGTTCGAGGTCGAGCAAAAAGGGCACACAAATGAGAATTAAAGGCAAAAGAGTAAATCGAAGGAAATACCAGTCTTCTTCACTAACTCGAAGAAGCAAAAATCATCAACATGCTCAAACAAAGAAACTCACCAGAAACAGTCGCCAAATACCGCCAAAAAATGCACTAAAAAACTTAAAACTCAAAATTAGCTATCGGAGGTAACACCAGATGATAGATGTAGGTCCGATTCACCAAATTTCGAATTCTGATACCTTGTTACGCACAAAAAATCAAAGTAATCTAAGAAGAGATTGGGTGAAACCCTTCAGGGAGAGAGAAACGCGAGAACCTTCTTATTGAAACATAAGCGACTGTCACAAGAATAAAATATGTTATCTCCACAAGAATATTTCAGACCTATATATATTTATACAATCCTATTTCTGGGTATATCTGTAAAAAAACAAATTACACTTGTAAAATAAATATAAATAAAGTCTTCCGAGTCTTCTCATGTTGGATTAGCATGCTTATTCTGGGCTTGTGCATATTGGGCCGTAGAGATACTTAGAACTTTGTATATTGTACTCCAACACTAATTGTTTCATGGGAAAATTACGCGACACATCAAACATTTATATTGTATTTACTATTCGTAGCATACTTTCAACAAATTTATCATTTGTAGCTATATTTGAATTTTATATCAAATTTATGAAATAAGAGATTAGTTGTTTTGAACTGAAATAAGAGAGCAACAAGCTCTCGTAGCTTAGTTAGTTAGAGCACTTGCTTAGCTAGCAAAGCTCTTGAGTTCGAATCTCAACAAGAATATTTTATTTTTTTGTATTTCTGTATTTCACCTTAGTTGTATTCGTTGCGCAAACAAATACAGTCAATACAGGTTGTATCCTTTGTATATACTCATATATACAATTGATACAAGTTATATCTGTTGTATACACCATTGTATTTCGCCTTGGTTACAGTTGACACATATTGTATTCGTTACACGAATGAATATAATTGCGCGAACGAATACAATTAACATAAGTTGTATTCTTTGCGCGAATGAATACAGTTGATACAGACTGTATTGGTTGCGTTTTGAATACAAGTGATATAACTTTGTAGCAATTGAATAGTATCTACCAATAATAATTAGGTAAATTATAGTTATTAAGCTCTAAATTATAATGGTTTATGAAAATTCCTAAACCACATGATGTTAGGCCAAAAATATTATACTTTTAGCACATTACTCGCTCTATATTTTGTTGGTTTAGTGATTTATTGTGCGACATTTGAGCTAAATTGTGTTATTTTATGTGTAGGAGTATCGGAAGATAAAGACGAGTGAAGGTTACACAAAAAGAGGATGAAAATGCAAGAAAAGAGCACAAAAATGACAAGTACCCAAATCGTGCTACAGACCAGGCTTCGCGAGGTCTATAGCCAAGTTGACCGAGCTACAGACCAGGCTTCGCGAGGTCTATAGCCAGGTTGACTGCGCTACACACCAGGCTTCGCGAGGTCTATAGCCAGGTTGACTGCGCTACACACCAGGCTTCGCGAGGTCTATAGCCATCTTGACCGTGCTACAGACCAGGCTTCGCGAGGTCTATAGCCAGGTAATTAAAAGTCATGGGATAAAATACTCCGACCCGAATTTGGATTCAATGACTTCAACCCTAGCCTATAAATACTCTCTAAACGTGTCTGAACAAAGAGGGTCATTTTTAGGGTGGATACAACCAAAGGAGAGCCGTTTTTAGGGCAGATTCAACCAAATCGGACGTTTTTGGAGATGGGATTTCGACTTAAGGAGGCAAGAACCCACCAGGAGCAAGGCAAATAATTCTTCTATGAATTTTTCACTTCCTTCTTCCTATTTTCGTTATTGGTTATGAATTCTAGTATTGTAGTTTTGCATACTATTATGAATAGCTAATTTGTTATCTAGAGTTTTGATAGAACCTTTTGTAGGATAAATTCTTGTTATATTTTTATATAATTGAGCCGTTGGATTTCTCTACTTGTTAAACTACGTGTTTATTGTGGTTGATTGAATGGCCATCAATTAACTGTGCCTATTTAGTGTGTATATTACTCGAGAGAGAGAGTATGCATTTAGGTAGTTGTTGAACAACATCACTCCTAACGTATGTGAGAGATCAATACAGAGGGTTTAAAAGTGGGATTAGAGATAATGAAATCTTGGTGCGATCGTAGTGAGCGGTGAATTAGTGTCAACTAGCATAGTTCGAGAGAAAACGTCTAGTAAATTGTGGTAGTTGCTCGACAGAGAATTACGACACCCGAAGTACTCACGATCAGTAGAGAATACTTAGGCGAAATTACAGAAGACGTAGTGGGAAGGATTCCGACAATTGGCGAAATCATAGCTCTAGACCTCCTTAGGCTTGTCTCCAATTTTATCCTTGTTAGTTAATAATTTTACTGCTTTATAATATTTATTAGTTAATTAGTAGAAATAAAAATCAAATCTTTATAACTAGAAAATTGTTTGGACTTGTGTTTCTTAGCAATATTGAACAACTGTAGCTAAATCTTAGTTCTCTGTGGGATGTGACTCCGGACTTGTAAACCGGATTATATTTGCAACGACCTCTTAGTCTTTTTTATAAGCCATAATTGGGCGTGATTAAATTTTGGTGTCGTTGTCGGGGAACTAACGGTGTAGCTGTATGTGTACATTTTGCTAGTTTTCAAGTTTGAACTTTTATTTTTATTTTCTTGTATTTGATTTTTAAAATTTTTTGCTTTACTTGTTAATTTGAGAAATATGGCATCGTGGAATTATGGAAGTTTTGATGTTGGTAATTCTACTATTGATCTTCCTTGTGTGTATTGTGGAGAAAATCACCTGTGGCAAAATTGTCAAAATATTCCCAAGAGCGAGTTATGTGCACCAACTCAATCATATTTGTGGAATGTATGTGATATGTGTGGTGGTCAAGATGGTCACTTTCATGGTTGTGCTTATATTTCTTATCTTCCCCTTACCCCTTACTTTGATGGTTCTTCCTTTTCTTGTGAAATTAATAGGAATAAAGAACCCATGGATGATTACCTGAAAGAGATCAAGGATATGCTAAGGTGTCTTGTGGAACAAAATAATGAGAAACAACTGCACATGCAAAGGCAAGATGCTACTATTTGTAACTTGGAGGCACAAGTGAGTCAACTAGTTGAAACATTTAATGCTCAACGAGCCAATATTGTGGATAGTAGCCAAGAAGAGCATGAATTAGATACCGAAATTGAGGTTCTAATGGAGGAGGTCAGAGTAGAACACCAACAACCAATCAAACTAGAATTTGAGGATGCCGGTGTTGTAAAAGAGATACTAGAGTCAACCAAGGATATTGAGGATACATATTTAGTTGACTCTAGTGTCATTGGTATTGAGGATGTAGAGAGTCCCAATGTTCATATAGTTGAGCGCATTGGTCCACACTCCAAGTATTTTTCCACATTGTGTTTGGATGATGATATAGAAATAGAGTCATCCAAGCCACTTGAGGAGTCAAGGAATGAGGAACAAGGTGACTACATTCTGGAATTCTTCTTGCCAGAAAGTCGGGATTACACACCTCATCTAAAGGCCAAGAAGTGCAGAATACTATATTGATTCCTTGGGCCAGTTAGATTCATTCCACCACCCCAGGAGCGTAATCATAAGCTTGAAGCAAAACTTGGGGTCCAATTCATAAGTTTGAAGTGGAGAGAAAAGTGGTAAAGTTGATTCACGTCGTGCCGCGACGTTAAATCAAGCGTTTGTTGGGAGGCAACCCAGCTTTACTGCTTTCTTTTCTTTTCTTTTATTTTTATTTTTTATTTTTAAATTATATTATTTTTGTAGTGTCAAATTTTGATTTTCTAGGAGCATGAAAAGCAAAGCTATTAGAAGGATGCAACATCAAACCAGATAGTTGGAACTAAGTGTGAGGTACCCGCACGAAGGACCAGTCCTGGATGAAGTCTGAGTACCCCATGAGCTATTAGTGCTTCGGCCTTTGGCCTACTAGGGAGTTTCTTTTACCCTCTTATTATTTATGGCGTGCATTGGGGACAATGCACAATTTTAAGCATGGGGTGACTTTCTATGATATTTTAGCTGTGTTAGTTTAATTGAATAATATTTTTTTTAGAAAAATGGAAAAAGATTCGACTTTTCCCGACGATGGATATCCTAGATAATTTCTTTGAGGGTTTAAAGTGTGATAATTTTTTATTTTTTTTAAAGAAATAGAAAAATTCAAAAATATTTCTTTTATTTTTGTAGGTAGTAATAATCCCCCGTGGTTTTTCTTTGTAACTCGATTCTTTTTCATGGGATGTAGTTTGAATCGGGTCATAGTTTTTAAATTTTTAGATTATAATAGGATTTAGGGAATAAAAGAAGGAAGATAAAATTTCTAGGTGCCCTTTTGACTTGTTTGATAGTAGCATATTTAGGTTCTAACATGTGCATTACCTTCCCTATAGTTTGAAGTTGCTTATGATGCCTTGTTGAGTTAGATAGCATGTCTATTGACGCCCATGTCTCATTTTCTTGGCTCGTGTTCACTTTGTGCTTGATGCTTAATATTTTGTGGCTCCGTGAATACTTTTATTATTTGAAAATCGGAATAGAACCGTCCTTAGTTAGTCATGTGCCATGTGTGATGAGAAAGTGTATAGTCCATGTCATTGCATTAGAGTCTAGAACTTGCCCGGCATGTGAGTTGAAGCGAAATTTTAGGTTTTGCTCGGTTTGAAAAATAATTTTAGGCTTTCTTTGATTTGTTTGAGCTTAATGCTTACCACAATAAAAAATTATCCCTAGTCAACTCTTTTGAGCCTATAAGCTTTTATTTGGCAACCACATTACAAGCCTATACCCCTTTGTTCTTAATTATTATTATTTTGATCATTTTACCTCTTAAAGTACTTTAATTGTAAAATGAGCGCTAAAAGAAGAAAGGATGGAACTTGGGTAGATTTTGAGTGGAACCAATGAAAGAAAGAAAGGTGCACTTATATTGTAAGGAATACACCACTAGTGAGAATGGTATAAGAAAAAAAAAGAGTATTGTTGAAAAGAAAAAAAAAATATAGCAATGGAAAATAAGCATATCTTGTATTTGCTAGTGTGTATTAATTAAAGTAGTGCTTAAAGAAAGAGAAAATACTTTGGGGATGAAATTGTTGGTGAAATTGCACTTGGGTGGAAGAAAATGCGCTTATAATTAATTTTGTGATGTGTTAAAGTGCTTAGGAGGGTTAGTCACCATTCCTAAATTTATCCTACCCGTCCTTTAGCCCACATTACATCCATAAAAAGTCCTAATTGATTTTAGATTGAGTAAGCCTACATTAGTAGAGGTTTATATAATGGGCA